ATGTTGAAGGGGGGGGGGGAATTGGGCCTCCGGCCACCTGCACTCACCAGACGAAACGCAGAAGCAAAGCTTCTACTTCACGCCGGTATTCTGTGAGGTCGTGGTACCAACCCGGCTCGAGCCGGCCCATACATGCAACAGCAAAAACTGCTGCGTGGCTCTACCACCGTTAGAGTTAGAGTCTTCGCGATGACGCGGCCCATAGCGGCCTCTAACTATACCAGATGTAATAGTATTTTGTGCTTTAATAGCAAACGATCTATCAACTAATCCACCTAGCACGCTCTTGACCTGCGATCATCTCCCACCAAGTTTCAACAGTGGTAGAGCCACGCGGCAGCTTTTGCTGTCGCACGGATGGGCCGGCTCGAATCGGGGTGGTATCACGACCTCACAGAAAACCAGCGTGAAGTAAAGGTTTACCTCTGCGTTTCGCTTGGTGAGTGCAGGTGGCCGGAGGCCCTTTTTACTGGAAATGAGGCATTCCATCTTAGTCCTCACGGCTGACAACGCATCTACATTTTGATTTGTAATAGGGGATTAATGTAGATGTCTATGGGCCGCAGCAACCTCTTACCATCAGGTGGACTATGTGCTCGTTTGTCACCCTTATCCTATAAAAAAAAAGTTTGTAAATTGTGGTCTCGTGAATTTTGAATATAATAGCAATTTCTCTATTGCGAGTGAAAAACGCTCCGTACATTCTGAAAAGCAATTTCTGCATTTGTAAAGGCAGCGATTGACTATAATATCAGAGTAGAAAAGAGGTGGAAGTTTTTTACATGCCTCTCACAACGCACGCACACAAGACACAAGTGCGATGTCTTACAGTAACAGTCCAAAAAAATAACGCGATATTTTTTACAACCACACGGACTACGTTTATTTTCTCTATCGCGAGGGTTATCAATTTAAAATATTTAAATCAAGATTTGTTAAAGTTAATAAGTTTTACTGCTACTTTTTTGTAGCATTCGAAAGTTACGGAAAAAATATTGTTATTATGAAATTCTTCCATATAATTTAGTCCTGAGATTTATGGCGATAATTTTTAATTGTTAATGTGACACATATTATATGAATTTAAAATTATTCAGTAGTTGACAAAATGTTGAGTAGTGATGAAATATAAAGCGAGCGCCCTACCCTATCTAAGAGACGATCGTTTTACATCGATATTTAGTTAATTAAATAGTAAAAGTAAGCCAGGTGGAAAACGTATAATTTAAAAATACTTTCAAGGCTTACGAATTATTAATAATGTCCTACAGACCTAATTTCGGTCACGTCGGAGGGGGCACAGGTGTATGCGTAAGCATAGGTGCACTCTCTATTTTCTCCCTCTTATAGTTCGATGGGATGGTAATCCGACACGAACGCAGTGACATCAGGAGCAGGATCAACGGCTTTACGTGCTTAAAACTTAAATATTCAAAAAAGGAATCAAAACAAATGTAATTTGGTAGACATGTTAGCTCGCGCATCGACTTAAATTTAATAGTACGCAAGCAACCTGTGGCCGGTGGAAGGAAAAGGGGAGATCTCCCGCCGGGCTAGGTGTTCTGCCCGGGGAGCGGCCAACACTCCGATTGGTATTTCGGAGCTATTCTATATATGCTGTTTAACTTCGGAACTTCGTTAGTGCGATTTAGGTTTCGATGTGTTTCGCTTGTGGTGCAACGACAGCGATTATAAACATCTTCGGTACCACTTACGTCGTATAACAAAATTTTACAAAATGTATGAAGCTGTATTTTTTTCATATGTTTATGGATGCACAGGTATGGGTGAGTTCTGGTTCTTATAACAAGTTAATCATGGTTTTTGTTTGGTCTGTTTATTATAGCTAGTAGTTTTTTTTATATAAGTATAGATGACAATGGAGCACACAGTGCACCTGAAGGTAAGTGAATGCTGTGGCCCATTGATACCTACATATATTTTCAATAAAAATTAAAATGAAGATGCGTTGTCACCTCTTACAACTAAAATTAAATACCTCTTTACAAATAAAAAAGGGTTTCCATTTCTCTACACTTACCACGATACACAGCAGCAAGTTGTATATTAATATTAGGAACCTATGAAATTGCCGTTTTTATGAAATAAGTTAAAGTCATTTTTTTTCCATAGTTTTGTTTTTTTGTTAATCAAAGTAATAGAGAAACAAAAACATAAACTTTTTTATTCAATGTAGACTATAAATAACACTTATGACTTTCATCACTCTTTATGTTTAATTTCTACTGGTTCGAAAAAAACCTCTGTCCTGGGAAGAACCAGCAAGAAACCCAGCGGGACTTTTTTAGGGTTCCGTAGTTACACAACAAGGAACCCTCATAGTATTTTGCTCAGAGGCCCTAGGTGCCACAGATATGTAATTTGGAATAGTTATAGATATTTATCACAACTAGAAAACGGTGAAATAAAAATCTTAAAAACATTTTTATTATGTGTAATTCCCATACAAGTAAATAGAGATGATTTTTTTTACCCGTCTATTCCATCATGCGGGGTACCGTTGGATAGGTCTTTCAAAACATTGGAGGTGTGGAACAACATCCGTTCGATTCAGGGGTTCATTTGAGAAATATTTAGCTTCAAAGGGGTATTTTTCATTAGAGTCCTGTGTCTCTTCCAACTAAACCGCTGTGTTTGGAAATGTGAAAAGTATAAAAACAGTAGTATATATTATAATGAAGTTAAAAGAAAAACTATCACAGATAAGTAGACGAATTTAGAAGTTAACGAGTAATACTCGACCAACTTATAAAATACACTTGAATAAGTAAAAATTTCGTTTCAACTCCATAGAAAATGACCTAAAACTAGCTGCATTATAACTTTGTAATGTTGTTGTAAACTGTTAAAAAGTCTATTTTACTGCTTCTCGGGGTATTGATTTTTTTTTTCTGGAAAAATTAGAAGTCTGTGAATACGGTGGATGATCGGGAGTATCCAACCCCAACTCTTGTAACGTGGAGACCATTTGTTATGCAGTATGGGGTCATGCGTTGTCAATAACTAATCAATAAACAAATGACTAATGTCGAAAAAAGAATTACATGTTTTTAAAATATTTTTTTTTTTTATAGGATAGGGTCACAAACGAACACACAGTCCACCTGATGGTAAGTGGTTGCTGTGGCCCATAGATATCTACATCTATTTTCGTTTGCGAATCAAATTGCAGATGCGTTGTCATCCGTGAGGACTAAGATGGAATGCCCCTTTTCCAGTAAAAAGGGTGTCCGGTTCTCTACACTCACCATACGAAACAAAGCAATTTTGATGGTGGATGGTAGTCCAAGTACCTGGATCACGTTATCACGAATGATCGAAAACATGATAACAAATAGAGTGGGAGCGCAGAGCGTTGACGATGAGGGGTATCTAACTTCGATCGCTTATTTCTGCGATGTTTAGACTCCTTTAAATAATGCTATTTATTATAATGCACATATTTTTACACAATAATTTTGTGGGTAAGGTACACAAAATGAGCTACGACGCCCTATGTTTGCAGTATAATAACACATTTAAATTGTTTTTTTAAATTTCTGCGCCGCTGTAACGTGTCAGACAAGTTTGCGGGAACACGCGTAGACGGATTTAACGCTATAATGCACAGGAAGCTCATCTCTCTTCTCCATCGGAAGTGACAATATCATCCAGAAGGCGATTGCAGCAAAGAGTAACTGTTCTATACAGAATCATTGGATATGTGTTGTGTGTGAAAGTATAGGGAACAGATCCTTGCGTATGAGGAGTTAATCACAGTCCTCACTCAAATAGAATGTTTACTAAACTCTTGTCCTCTCACTGTGCTTAGCTCCAATCCAGCTGAATCGACGGCTTTAACACCCGCACATTTTTTGAAAACGTTACCATTAAGCTCTCTACCTGCACCTGATGTGGAATCTTCGCCAATTAATTTACTTCAACGACACGCACTCTTAGATAATTAGTCCAGTCCTTTTGGCGTCGTTGGAGAACTGAATATGTGCATCAACTGCAGGCGCGGCAGTAATGGACTCAATCCTCGGTCCCCGTAAAGGTGGGCACAGTTGACATAATTATAAATGATAACTCACCGACCCTCTCCTTGCCTTCACCATCATCGTAAAGGTTCACCCGTCTAAGGACGTTATAGTTGGTATCGCTACAGTAAAAACGACAAGGGGTACACTCGTGCGACCAGTGGTGCGCTTGTGTCCGTTGCCTACGCAATAATAAAATCTACATCGCTCACATCTTCTTTACATCTAATGATTTCTTATATTTACGCGAACACTACACATTGAATAAAATTATTTTTACGGATTTTTATCGCGTTTAATTAACTTATTTTATATTCCCGACGTTTCGGTTGCTTTCCAGCAACCGTGGTCACGGGGGACTGAGGTGATTGACGTCCCGATGTCAAAGTTAACCCGGAGTACCTTCAGCTTTTTGATTATTAATTTTGGTCCGATCTACGCAGAATGAACTAAATGTGTCTTGAAGTCTTGCAGTGGTATGCTTGGGTTTAGTTTTAATTTTATGAATTACAGGATCTCAAGCAGGTGGTAGTACCCAGCCTCCCTCTCTATTGCATAGCATTTATATAGAACATTTATATAGAATAGCTGCTAAAATATATAAAAATGAAGTATAATTAATAGAATCAGGCGTTACTTTGCGGAAATCCGTTATATAAAAGCTTTTAAAAAGTTACTTCGCAAACATCCGCTCTATAAAATAAAATGGTGTGTCTTACCTAGTATGAAGAGCACCTCCCGCCCTCCCTGAACGCCACTGACGACAATAGTGATACTATCGTCAACTGTTAGCTGGCTCAAATTGCCGTTAAAATCTCCCAAAAATTACTATATTGTAAAGCAGTGTACTATAAAATATTTATCAATAGATACTAAGATAAATAAAGACATGGCTTAAAAGACACGCATCCAAAACAACAAGCTTAATAAAAAACCTGTTTCATTTTGGTTTTGATTGGCATTGTCATGACAACAATCAATGTAAAAATAAATAAATTGTGTTCCTTGTTTGAGGGATGAAAAATTAATATGTTTGAATTCCGTGGAATTAAAACACAGATCGATATCCATTCATGCCGTGTGTGTCTTGAAATAGTGTACGATGATTGTGTTTCATTTAAAGAAAATAATGATTTGTCACAACTTTTCGAGTTTTGTGTTGGAATCTCGGTAAGTTTTGTTAATTTCTTACGTATTTGAAATCATCAACCAGAACACTAATAAAAATAAAGAATTCTTTTTATATTTCTTTATTAATTAAAAATACGTATAATCAATAATATGTATTGTGAAAACAGCTGAAAACATTATGTATGTTCATATTAGTATGAACCTTAAAATTAACTTTGTAGCCACTAGTTTATATATCTTGTAAATGATTACTATTATTACATATGCCTTTCACAAGTCCACTGATAAACATAAGCCTACTCCAAAGAATGACACAAAGCACACTTATCTTCTAAATGAGCCTATGTAATAAAAATGAAATAATTACATCAGCTCTTTTGAATAGGTATTGTGTTTTCTAAATAAACTAGTTTGCTGGGTACAGAACTTGTCACATTTTTTTATCAAACATCCCAAGACTTCTACAGCAATGGGATTATGTCACTACCTACAAAATGGCAATAAGTTATTGAACAAAATGGCACTTCTATATCAAAATTAAATATAATTAAACTTTAAATAGAAAAATGTCTTCAATTCGTATAAAAAATATAATAGACCTGCTTCAATGAATGCTACAAAGCACAGGCTTGAGCCACTTACACCTATCGACTTCTTGCACCCCATTATACCAGTTTGTCAATTCATCTAGTGGTGGGTTCCCCCTACATTGTACAAGGTTGCTACTTGAGAACCTATCTTAACCTTCAATGTTACTAGTTTTTATGTATTTTATTGTGCTAAATACATATTTCATATTCCTTTGCTATTCTTATTATTTATTCTTAACCTGTAAAACATGGCCAGGTTTTATTCAGATTATTTGAGTTAATCTGAGATTGCAGCTTGAGCTCATCCCATAAAAACTATGATCATGAATGTAATGTTTAACTTTAGAAGATACTTATAAATACTACACATTTAGTAATTGACCATTGATTTTGTATGTTTTCACTGTTTTCTAAATTATTAGTATAATAAGTTAACATAAATTATACATATTGTATATGTATTAAAAATGAACTGCAGTTTATGTTATGAAGATTTTTGCATTACAATTACAAATAATATTTTATGCAGTATGGTCGTAATATATTATTATTTTATTTATTTTCAATATATGTATGATTATTATTAATTTTCAATGTTCTTATATTTCTAAGGTTAGGCCTGAAGATGTACTACATGTACTTTGCAACAAATGTATTAAAATTATTGAAGAATTTGCAAATTTTAAAAGGCAATGTCATGCTGCAGATGAGCTTTGGAAGTCTCAGTTGCATCAAGATGTGAGTATATAAAAAATCATCAGCCAGTTTGTTTCAAAGGATAGTTCTGAGTAAGGAAAATGTTTGAGTAACATTTTGTGGCCTCTGACATGTGGTGATATAACTATTTTGTATTTATATCTGATGAAAACCACAGGTTAGTTTTGTCGCCAACAGGAAGCAGGATTACAGTTGTAGTACATCTGGCACTGCAATGCCAATCAGCCACTATCAGAGAAGACCATATCAGGCCATGGATTGGTTATGGCCTGATAAGAATATAATTGTATATTATAGGTTCTATGTATATTGTTATAGTAGTTATCGCCATTACATAAGGTCAGTTAGCAAGTACTAACACCTAGTTGTCTAAACATTTTCTAAACTAGGTGTTACCTCATATGCTTCAATATCCTAAATAATATATAAATATGTATAATATGAATAAATAAATAGAACATATTTATTTATTCATTTTTTAGGTATTGTGCTAGGTGCTAGGTCCCCTTTTCAGTCTAGGAGTCTGTCGGGTAGGAACCACCTTCTTACCTATTTTTGGTTATTATTATAAATAAATAATTTATATATAATTCAATTTTTTGTGCGGAACCCTAATTCTATTTCTAAAATAAAAGGAGCCTAAGTTAATCCTTATAACATCAGCTATCTGCAATTAAAGTCCCGTCAAAACCGGTCCAGCCATTTCGTAGATTAGCCGAAACAAACAGGTCTGTCTGTTTGTTCCGGCGACAAATAGACGGACAGGCAAACATTTTAAAAATTGATTTTTTTTTTGTTGGAAGTACCGTATGTACTTTCTTTATAATGTACCTATTTAGTTTAGCTGTTATTTTGACAATACAAATAGACACTTCAATTTTATTTATTTGCATAGATATAGGAGTGTAATGTATAAGGGAATTCAGAACACATTCACCTTACTAGAGTTGCACACCAGTCAAACTTCCTTATCCTTGTTAAATTTATGTATGCAAACTGCCTCCCCGATACAGGAAAACATCCTCGTATGGGGCGAGTAACGTAAAAAATAAAATAAAGAAAGAGACAGAGCTTGTGTAATTTTAAATGACACAGTATACCTTAGGTATTCCCGGTGTGGTGGCGGAGTAAAAGAATCCATCACCCATTCGTCCTTGGTGCACGAAAAATGATATGACTTCCAATAAATAGCCGTACAACCATCACGTTTATGCCTTACGTAATATGCAAACCGGTGATGGGCAGCAGCGTCAAAGGTACAAGATGTTCAGGTCTAGCTTGTCAAAGGTGACGATTATGGGAAGTCCTCCCTAATACCAGATAGTCTCATATCCATCTATGTACTTTTACGGACTGAAGAAGAATGATACAGTAATATATTTTCTAATATTCCTTGAAACTCTATTAAGTACCAAGAAATTAGTATATTTGCCTTAATTATTTTAAGAGCGTTTGCACATTGCATCCCATGAGATTCCGAGGTATGTTCTTCCGAAGTAGCTATAGTACTATTCATATAAGTGCTATGCAATATTTTCGGATAAGAGAATAATAATATCTCTAGCTTGGATTATATTATTCGCGGACCGAAATAACCACATTTATTATTCGTACTAACGCTTGCGCACTTCTTCCGAATTGAATTCGAGCCATCACGCGAGTGTTGGTGGTGATAGTGCAGGTTTATCCGAAACTCTTTATTTCTCCTGTGAATCCGTACCTGTAATAACAGTGCAAAACGTTGACGGTGTTTAAGAGGTTTTGTGTCCAGAGAAATGCTGTTTGTAAACAGCACCAGAATGGCTAACACTAGAATTTAAAGAATAGCAATAATCGCATTTTCTCAAATTTGCACTCCCGAATGGGGTACGAATTTTCTAGATAAGTGTTTATTCGGATTAATCAAGGCGTAAACGCTCTTACTACTGTAATTTAATATTGTTAAATAAAAACATTTTAAAATATGTTGATTTATAACTAGAAAAATCATTCAGTAACTAATGCTTTGATTAAGGATTTAAAAAAAGAGGAAAACCACGAAGACCATGTTGTAGATGCTACATATTTATGTCAAGATGAAATTGAATGTGACATGCAACATGATACTATTCATGATACATATATCAATGAAATTAAGGATTTAAAAAAAGAGGAAATCTACGAAGACCATGTCGTAGATGCTACATATTTGTCTCAAGATGAAATTGTGTGTGACATGCAACATGATACTATTCATGATACATATATCAATGAAATTAAGGATTTAAAAAAAGAGGAAACCTATGAAGACCATGTTGTAGATGCTACATATTTGTCTCAAGATGAAATTGAGTGTGACATGCAACATGATACTATTCATGATACATATATCAATGAAAATATTGAATGCAAATTAAAAGAAAATGCCTGTTTAAAAAAGGAAGAAAAGCAGCTCAAATGGAATCATAAAAAAGAACATAGAAATAGTAAACAACACAGAACCACCAAAAGCAAATATTGGCGGTTAGATGTCAATGAAACTGAAACTGACAATGAAAGCAATGACAAGGAAGGCTTAATAAAGGTTCTAGAATGTAGTAAATGTAAGAAACAATACCGTAAGTATATTTCCTTATTAATTTATTTAATTTGGAGAGTTATTTTTTTTAATATAAAACTAAACTGACAAACGAAATGTGCAACAAATACCCTAATGAGGCAATCAATTTGGCGATCTATGTTTAGCTTTTTAGGTTTCCGTAGTAACTCGACAAGGAACCCTTATAGTTTCGCTATGACCTTCCGTCCGTCCGTCGCTCCGTTCGCGGTTTTACTCAGAGACCTTAGGTGCTACAAATCTGCAATTTGGCATGCTGTCCACACCCTACCATTAAGCTACTGTCGCTTTTATACATGTCGCTTAGCTGTTGAGTTTGAGATGCTGTAATTGCTTATTTTCTAAACTTTTTCAGTGCTTCTTGGTGAAATTCACATATTGAGAATAATGAAAAGTTTAAGATTAATTAGTTAAGATCCGCGTAGTTTTAACAGTGGTAGAGCCACGCGGCAGCTTTTGCTGTCGCGCGGATGGGCCGGCTCGAACCGGGGTGGTACCACGACCTCACAGAATACCAGCGTGAAGTAGAGGTTTACCTCTGCGTTTCACTTGGTGAGTGCAGGTGGCCGGAGGCCCTTTTTACTGGAAATGAGGCATTCCATCCTAGTCCTCACGGGTGAAAACGCATCTGTATTTTGATTTGTAATAGAGGATAGATGTAGATGTCTATGGGCCGCAGCAACCACTTACCATCAGGTGGACTGTGTGCTCGTTTGTCACCTTTATCCTATAAAAAAGTAGTATAATTAAAAATTAAAAAATTGTACATCCGACTTCAATATACAGTAAGGAATCCATATACATGCAATATATGAAACCACAAGTAATACTAGTCCATAGAAGTGTAGTAAAATTAAATATTAAACTAAAAACCGTAAATTAAAAAAGTGAAATATTCCAACAAAATAAATATTAAAATAAATAGTAAAAGTAAACCACTCTGTTTAGACTACGTACCTTGACCCCTTGGAGAAGTGGCAATGTAGCACGCGGGCGGCATGGCGGTTGGCGGCCGGCAGCGTTATTGTCGGTACGGCCTTTGATTCGTTTGATAATGTGCAACGAAATAAAAACTTACTAAACTGTTTAGGTATTTTTACCGCCACTTATTTATTTCGCGATAATGGAACGAAGCGAAATAAGTATTAATGCATATTAGTTGCAAAATTTAATGGAACCCTAAATTTTAAAATTTTCAAAATGTCCGCCACGTTCTTGAATGCAAATTGTCGATAACAGGTGTCCTACTCTACGACACAGGCGCGGGCGCACTTGCGCCGCCGGCTTTGAAGAACGCCGCGTGCCTTGGGCCGCTTGTTTATGGACGCCGCCAAAAGACACAGTTGCCGACGTACTTAGTCTCACGTCGTAATAGTTTGCACTGTGTGGCAACGTCGCTTTTTAATGTTCAAGAACTCAAGTTCATTGAATCATTGACCTAGTGACCCAATTATATAGAGAGTACAAAAGTAGTTAAAATTAAAGCTATTTGACCTAAATACGGGACCGATTAATTTCATTTTTTGTATATCGTCAGCAAAGGTGATAACAAGTATGTGGTTTCATATATTGCATATATGTGGGACCCATTCTATATATTATTAAGAGTAACTCAAAAACTATTGATCAGACCTTGATCAATGACACATGAGAAGCACCAGCTTTCAAATAAAAATAAGAATCATCGAAATCGGTTCACTGGAAAAAGTTACGAGGTAACACACATAAAAAAGAACATACAGTCGAATTGAGTACCTCCTCCTTTTTTAAGTCGGTAGAAAATGAAATGATGCATCTTACCTAGTTTGAAGATCACCTCCCACGCTCCCTAAATTGCGTGCATTAACCTCGTCATCATCAATCTCAACACCACTACTCTCAACATCAATACACTGGGAAAGAAACACTACCGTCGATAATACGACACGTGTTTCGTCTCTAATCAAGGCATCCTCAGGTGAAGTAGACTTTGCTGCGGTTGGCCACTCGAGCGGTCATTTTATTTTATTACGCGGATCTTTTAGGTAATTAATTTTAAACATCTTTATATATAAAAATTACGTGTCACGTTGTTTGTCCGCGATGAACTCCTAAACTACTGAACTGATTTCAATGAAATTTCGCACACTCTGTGCAGTTTGGTCCAACTTGAGAGATAGGATAGTTTTTATCCTGATAAGTGACACTCAATATGTTTTTATTGTGAATTTAAGGATTTTTTATATGCAGGGTCGTCGAAAAGGGCAGAACAACATCTGAATGGATAGCTAGTCTTTATATATAAAAATTAATTGCTGTCCGTTAGTCTCCCAAAAACTCGAAAATAGCGCGACCGATTTTAATGAATCTTTTTGTTGATAATAGATTTCCGCAAAGTCACGCCTGATTCTATTAATTAAATAATGAAATGAATAAGTGGTCTGTGGACTTCCCACTTCCCGTAGGACTGGAAAACCAGCAAAGTCATCGTTCTGCCGAAACCCGGGAAGGTTACGAAAATAATTATGTTCATATTAAATATTAGTATTTGACAAATTCTGAATAACAACCCCCTAAAATATGACTAAAGTGAAAGTTTGATAGGTATTTTCTATCGCCAATTTGACTGCTAAACGTAGCGTTAAACAATCTAAAGTTTTTGAAAGATTTGACAATTTCGAATTTATTCCAGAAAAAACAAAATGCCTCATAAATCACATGAAGAAATCTTGTTACAAACGTGTAAACGTAAATAAATTAGTTATAGTAAAAAAGTACAGGCCAGCAATAAAAAAGGTTCAGAAGACACCAACTGAATTGTTTTGTGGTAAGTGAATTTGTTTTATTATTAATCAATATAGCGCAAAGAACCGACAAATAATAGAAAAGAAAGGTCCTTGAGTGGCAGCCCCATAGGATAGGTGTAGGTCCCTACTAGATGGTGTGATGATCTGGTTAGACATGCAGTAATTGATGTGTATTTTGTGATATTCCTTGAGGAAGGCCGATGTTCAGCAGCCGACTAGTGAAGGTCTAATGATGATGTTGAAAGTAATTATTATGTTAAAGTTGGCAAAATATTACTTCGCGTACACCCGCTCGATGAAATAAAATGATGTGTCTTACCTAGATTGAAGAGCACCTCCCGCCCTCCCTCAATTGCGTGCACTATCACCGTCACCACTAATCCCAGCACCACAACTCCCAACAAACACCACTACACTAGGAAAGACACACCACTGACGACAATACGACACGTGTTTCAAGTAAAGTCAAGACTTAGCGGTCAGCCACCGCAGAGTCTAGATTACCTGAAGATGCCTCGTGTAGATGCGAAACACGTGTCGTATAACGGTGATAGTGCACGCAATTGAGGGAGGGCGGGAGGTGCTCTTCAAACTAGGTAAGACACATCATTTTATTTTATCGAGCGGATGTACGCGAAGTCATTTTTTGCCAACTTTAATATAATGGACTTCCGCAAAGTAACGCCTGATTCTATTAATGAAATTATTATGTTTACTTAAACAAAGAATATGCATTTTTTATAATGTGAACAATTGGATTCAAATGAACAGGGGAAGGATTTCAAGTTTAAAAACAGCCCGCAATGTGAAAAAATCCCACACCTTAACTTTAAACAATGCTACAAACATTTTAATCCCACTAAATATCTTCTATTAAAATATATATAAAACTCATGGACAAATTTATAGGAAAGAAAAAAAAAGTTTTGTTCCTCCTGTTGTAATTATTGTGCGTAACGGCCACAAAAGAAAGTTTTGTATTTTTTTTTTTTAATTTCATTTGTTTTGTGTTATTATTGCGTAATATTGCGTTCTTTGAATGGAAGAATGGAACGCAATATGTTTAGATTTTGTTGATAACTTGATGATGAGTATGCCAAGGAGACTGGAAGCAGTACTAAAAGCTAGAGAGGATAACACTTAGCAATGATTCAAGTCTACCTTATAGGCTTTTCTAAGCATTTATGAAAAAAAATGTTACTTTCCTGTAAAATTTTATCTTCTTCTCTTAATTTGGTTAGTTTTTGTCAGTTAATCGGTTGTTTTATCGACGTTTGCAATTCTGAATTAACGAAAAATAAGCAAAATCCAAATTATTAATTTGGATTTTGGAAACTTTCTTATCATAAAAAAGATATTTCGTTTTATCTTATTTTTGCGCTCCTCTAAATTTGTTCATGAGTATATAAGTATACTACTGAGATGCTGTTACCGTTCTCTAACCTAAACGATAAAATATACGTCCGTTTCTAAGGTGAAAACGATTTATTGTTTTGATAATTTTAGGCTGATTTTTTAAACGGTAGATAAAAGTTTTGCATGGAATAAATTATGACCTAACTGTATATAAAATTGAAACAATTTGACAGATTTATTCGTACAACTGTAATTCTAAATTTGTTTACGTCGTATTTTACCTCATGAATAAATTTTACCTAAGGATTGAAAAATCGCCACTTAAGTACGAAAAAATAATTAATATGCTTATTATGTACATACATTAATTTATTTTGATATAATCGCAAACTATTTTAAAAACAATCTGAATTCTTATTTATTTCTTTAGAAGAATTAAAAGAATCCGAAGTAAAATAAAAAAATCGTCATCATCATCATTACATATAGCGTTGGTTGAAATGATATTTGTTATTAGTTATGGTGAAATCATTGTATAATTTTTAGGGTTATGTAATTTCTCGTCCTCCAGTAACAGTGACCTGAAGCAGCATTTGAATGAACATTGGGAGAAAAATAACTTACAGTGCGGGTTGTGTAATTACTTTGGTAAAGATCTCGCTGAAATGGTAGGACACAGGTGGGTATTTATCTATAATTTATTATGTTTGATTTACCTGTTCCAAGAGTTGTCATATGGGAACCGGGCTGGGTTACATTAGCTATATAGCATAGGGAAAACTGTTAGCTCGAATGTTCTTAATATAGAAATAAAAATTCTTGAATACTTTATAATATAAAACTGATATATTTATTATTAACCGTGTAGTTGGGTCCGTGGGTGTCGTAAGAGGCGACAGAAGAAAACCGGAACATGAGATGGGTAGCATCGTCTTCCTGATAACATCACAGAATAATAAAAAAACTGCTGTTGGCAACCCGCTCGCCAATTGTGCAACTATAACAAAATCCCCCCCTATGAGGCAATCTATGTTCCTCAGAGGACTTTCATAGGCTGTAATAGATAAATAGAAATATTACATATTTTTAATTGGAACGTAATCAGGCTATCACATTCTATTTCAAAGCAATAGAGAGTGGTTGAATCTCAGTAACGAGGATATCTGCAACAGAACCAGAGAAAACGACGTAACTCAACGTATTAGTAAGCTAAAGTAAGTTAAAGTGGTATTTTGAGTTTGTATTGTATTAGAGCGTGGTTCTTCTCGGGATGAGCCGATCTAATTTGTGTTGACTAGTATAATATAGCTGCAGCATGGTTTAACTCTCCGACGTTACTGCCGGGAGCCGATAGAAGTAGGCAGCTTATGAATCTTAGTAAGGACTGGGGCAGGTCTGAGTGTTTGTATAAAAATAAAATTGTCGAGCAAAGACGCTGCCCAGTTAATAGAAAGTAAATGCTATGGCTCATAAACACCATCTATTCTCAATTAGGAATCAAAATCCATCTAAATGTGTTGTCACTCTGGAGACAATATACAGGGTTTGCAATATATACGTACCCAAATTTACAGAGATGTTTCAGAATAAGGATTACAACCGAATATTAATAAAAATTAAAAAAAAATTAAACTTTCTGCCCTATTTATCTTTTAAATTAAGAATGCGTAATGCATTATTTTAACTGATTATCATTCATAATCGTACTCACAAATTCGTAAGGTTCGTTCAGTCGGCAAAAACGTGAATGTAATTCTTATTGAAAGTAATTTTTTACTTTACTACTATTTCGGTCAGTCAAAAAAAGAAACCCAGCGGGACTTTTGAAAGTAAATTTTACATGAAAGGTAACTGTACAAAATATTTACAAAATTTATTTTAGAAACAGCTTGGAAGCGACCACCTCTTTCCCAGGTTATTATCAACCATGTATTTTTTATTTTGAGTAGTATAAATGCTGTAGAAATGCGGTCATTAAGAAGTATGCTAGGGCTGAATCTGAATGACAGGGTGAGAAATAGTGTGATAAGAGAAAAGTGTGGCTTGCAAGATGTCGTTGTGTTCAGGATTAAGAAAGGAATGCTTCGGTGGTTTGGTCATGTAGAAAGAATGAACGGGAAGGGACGCCCTAGACGAAAGTTTATCGGCGAAATTGGCGATATATTGAAAATGGGCCAGATTAGGAGTAACCTTAACGGACGAGCGTGTATGCGTAGATATTATGGATGTAAAGGAGGGAGAAAGGTGTGGATCGAGGATCGTGCCAAATGGAAGTCCTTAGTCTCTGCTTACCCCTCTGGGTGACAGGCGTGAGTGTTTGTGCGCGCGCGAGTGTGTTTGTGTGTGTGTGTGCGCAAGCGCGCGTGCGCGCGTGTGTGTATTTTTTAATATTTTTTTTATAATATATTTAATATGTAATAGAGAGACCTTGAATATTTTTTGGGAATTTGTTGTAATAGCGTATACATTTCTATCACTGGCTTGTAATTATTCCTAGTGTTTATAGAGTGTATATCACTTTACTAAAACCACCTTTGTTTTTGTGAACATACGTTAAATTTTCTTAAATATACTGAGAGACCAAAGATATTCATTTCTAAAAAAAAATCTTTTAGGTTGTAAATATCTCTGATGGCCTTCTTCTGCAACAAAAAAAATCGTTTCTAAATCATACGCATTTCCCCATAGCAAAATCCCATAAGACATTATGCTGTAGAAATAACTGAAATAGACTAATCTAGCTGTCTCGACACTAGTGACACCTCTAAACTTTTTTACAGCATAAGCTGCAGAACTTAGTCGGTTTGTTAGTTTGGATATATGGGGGCCCTACTGAAGCTTTGCGTCGAGAGTGATGCCAAGAAAAACTGGATTCAACAGGGCTCAGTTCTTACCCGGTATTCGGTGTTGCAAATTTGATACATTTAGTTTTATTTCTGTTTAAATGTAGATAATTATCGTTAAACCAGTGTACTAATTTTAATATAGCATTATTTACTTCGTCACATTTAAATTATTGACTATTAAGTTTAAATATCAGGGAAGTATCATCAGCAAATAATACTGTATCATGATTATCCTACAAAGGAAGGTAAGTCATTAATATACCATAAAAATATAGCCCGGAAGAACTTTTACAATTCATACTAACTTTCTGCGTTCTATTACTTAAATATGAAATAATAAGTTTAAGCGCTGTGTTCTTGACACCATAGTACTGTAGCTTCCTGATTAATGTCTCATGGTCGAAAGGCCTTGGAAAGGTCACAAAATATACCCGCATCCTCTGAATTCTCATGTGCACAAAATTCTGTTTTGTGAGATTCAGATTTAAATGAAGGTATGACTTTATTATGTTTCATTAAATCAGAAAACACTAGATTTGAAGCTTGTATTAAAATAGTGGCTAGATAAGATGCAGTTGTATCTATTATAGATGCAATAACTTTAACGGGAATCCCACATAAGTCTACCGTTTTCTTAACATCAAAACAAAATATTTAGCGATAACTTTTGGCAATACTCTATGGAATTTAAAAGTATTTGAACAAGCATTTAAATTTTGTTTAAAGAATGATTCGGCAACATTAGGAGAAGAATTAAATGATTTTCTTGTCAAAAAAGGAGCATCAGTAAAATGTTTCTCAAAAGCCATAGCAACTCCTTGATCAGATTGAGTTAAGTTATTGTTAATATTCAATTGAAAATCCGAGTTGCGCGGTTTGACCTTGCCCGTTTTATTATTAATTATTCTCCACGTCATTTTTATATTATTTTATGTAGTTTTAATTTTATTAGTGATGTAATAAAGCCTTAGCTGTGGAGCACACTTTTGTAAATATTTTAGGATTTGTTTTTACATATTCTCTAAATATAACACTATGATTACCTATATGATCTTTCATTATAAAGCTCGTATAACTTTCGCCTACTTTTACCTACTTGACGCCCATTCATCAAATAATTTGCGACTGTTAAAAGAGAAAGTTTTACATGTAAATATTCTATTAAATTAACAACTTATAATTTTAAATAGCACCCCGTCAAATAATCAGCACTATTTTTAAATGAAAGTGATATAAGTCTTATTACTATATTACTTCTCAACCTCACCAAGCTATGTTCATTTATTAGAACAAATGCAACTTTCTCATTTTGCTTTTTTATAGGATAGGGGTGACAAAGAAACACACAGTCCACCTGAAGGTAAGTGGTTGCTGTGGCCCATAGACATCCATAACCAATATTCGATTACGAATCAAAATGCAGATGCGTTGTCACCCGTGAGAACTAAGATGGAATGCCTCGTTTCCAATAAAAAGGGTCTCGGGTGCTCTACACTCACCATACGAAACACAGCCGCGTGCTATACTGCGCTGGTATTCTGTGAGAGCATGGTCCTGCCTCGGTCGAGCGTCCTATTAGTGCTACAACTATACTACTAATAGCTGCAGCATGGCTCTACCACGATAAAAAGCGAAATTGCGAATGAGGTATTAATGGAGTTTAACATGTCTCCAAATATTTATACATAAGGATAGTAAAATATTTTCTTTCACCACTGAGCACTGAATTAAATTAGAATTTAAAATTGCTATTATCAATTCCTATGTAATGTGAGCGCCATGTTTCCGAACGGCTAATAAACCCAGGCAGACGCCCGGGTTTATTTTACAGCATTAATTACTGAATATTCTGTTTTCGATTAGTCCTTTATCGGCCAAAGTTTCCCTTATACGAATTTTGTTCGTTGTTTAGGAAGTTTGGTAGTTATGAAGTTTCGGGCAAAGATCGTGTAGGCGAATGTATTCGCCTACACGCTTAACAAACATGATATAATTTAATTATCATAAATATGTATAAACTTGAATGATGAAAATTGCTGGATGGGAAACTGAAATCGAATTAAAACTTTACTTTTTCGCCGAATATTAAAATTTCTTCTGTCAATCATTCTTTTTTTTTAAATCTACTTCCTTATTGAAATTACTTTCTTTATTCGGATAAAAAACGGCGACAGAAATTCTGAAGATAATTTCTTGTCATTTTTAGAGCCAAATCTACAATATATTACAACATATAAAAAAGTGAAAATTAATTTTTTTTACTGTTAACAAGGCATTTTAGTTTTGTTCTTAGGGGTGATATGGTGACAACACCTCTGAGAATTGATTCATAATCGATGCTTGAAATGTAGGTGGCTATGGACAGACTTAGATACTATCAGATATACTGTGTGCTAGTTTTACACCCTTATATATTTTTATAAAAATAGAAATGAAACCCAACTCTAAATAAGCTGTGAGTAATAGAGCACAAACCCTAAAAAGGTCAACATTTAAATTGAATTAATTAAAGAAGACTTTGTTTAGAAAGTTTAAAATTTTACTTTAACACAGTGCAACTTCTATCAACACCTTAATTTTTAGCCTAGCCGTCACTATACGGCGAAAACTCATATAATCCATCCATTACAACGCATAATGGTTCATTGCTGAACATAGACCTCCTTGAACTACAGATTGCCTCATGGGGGATTTCGCCATAGTTGTCACGTTTTACAGGCGGGTTGGCAACCACAGATTCTTATAATGTATGTTATGCTTGGTAGAGCCACGATGTAGCACAAATGGGTTGGCTCGACCGGGAAAGCACCACGCTCTCACAGAGTACCAGCGT